GTAGTATGTGTGGAACAAAATACATAACAGTTAAAGTTCAATCTCATTGCAGATTCTCCAGAATCATTGACAATTAATATACTTTTTCATATGGGAAAAGCCATATGGAAAATCACATCCAAGCAGTCTTGTTATACTAAAGTATATTATTAAGAATAGTTATATACATTAATATTGTCACTAAAAGCCTGGTTGATTTGTTTTCCCCTTTCTCTCCTTATTTTTTTTTAAACCATATTTTTGTGTTTGTCATCTTCCTTGTTACTGTGCAGATGGAAGAGTTATTTGTAGCTTTGAAAATATGAGCATATAATTGGGAGAGAAAGTTGCATATTCAATGTGATGTAAGAGTTAATCTAGTAGCATTTGGTTTGTTACTTATTGACTTCTTAATAATAAATGATTTACAAGACACAACTAATTTTATTTAGGTGTTTCTAATTTATATTACAATAATATTTTACCCACAGTAAAAAGCATTCAGTGTTTTTATGTTTATGTTATTTCCTTGTTTAGACATTGCAAATGGCTCTAATGCAGGAGGATACCGTCCCCCTCCCAGAACAAAAGAAATAATCATTAATGGTCAAGCAGTGAAATTAAAATACTGTTTCACCTGCAAGATTTTCCGTCCACCCCGTGCCTCACATTGCAGCCTTTGTGATAACTGTGTAGGTGAGTAAAAAAATAAAAAACAAATCCATACTAGTCTAGATAGCTGTGGCAGAGAATTGATATATTGCTGGTCATTATATTCATTTGGTATTTCTCATTATTAAAGTACAGCTTTGCTGTTTTGTCCAACTGGTACAACCACAGGTAAACTGTCAATGTTTACACTTCTCTGTTTATACATCCCAGATTCGAATATGTAATTTCAGGTTTGCTATTTGATCACCTCAAGCTTCCTTTCAGCTTGAAATGCAATTGCTGCTCTTAACATTGGTTCAGAGTGAAATGTCATGTCCAAACGTAACGTTTTAAGAAATGTGTTAATAAGCTGAGGCATTGTTGTTGTTGTTAGTTGTGAAGTCGTGTCCGACCCATTGCGACCCCATGGACAACGTTCCTCTAGGCCTTCCTGTCCTCTACCATCTTCTGGGTCCATTTAAGCTCACGCCTACTGCTTCAGTGACTCCATCCAGCCACCTCATTCTCTGTTGTCCCCTTCTTCTATTGCCCTCAATCTTTCCCAGCATTAGGCTCTTCTCATTAGGTGGCCAAAGTACTTGAGTTTCAACTTCAGGATCTGGCCTTCGAAGGAGCAGTCAGCGTTGATCTCCTCTAGGACTGACCAGTTTGATCGCCTTGCAGTCCAGGGGACTCGCAGGAGTCTTCTCCAGCACCATAGTTCAAAGGGCTCCATTCTTTGGTGCTCAACCTTTCTTATGGTCCAACTTTCACAGCCATACATTGCAACTGGGAAAACCATGGCCTTGACTATACGTACTTTTGTTAGCAGGGTGATATCTCTACTTTTTAGTATGCTGTTTAGATTTGCCATAGCTTTCCTCCCCAGGAGCTAAAGATAATATACATTCCAATAAAACAATATTTGCTTCAGTACAAAAGGTAACCGAAAAGGCATAATACTTAATTTTATAACCCAAAACATGAATTTTTTTTACATTATAATGGTTTTGGGCTTCTATGATTAAAAAGGGTATACACACTTTAAAAAAAATGCAAAAAAAGATCCCTTCATGGACATACCCATGTCATTTTCTTCAGTAACTATACTGAAGTAGTTTATCAGTGCCTTCTTCTGGGACTGTTCGTTTAAAGTCCCCAGTCTAGCTGACAACTCTGAGTCCTTGTCCATTCATATATTAAGCATTCCTGATTCTGATTAACTTCCAAACCTAATCAAATTTGGCCAGGTGATCCTACCTCCTGTTGGTATAGCTTCAGGCCCTGAATGAACTTTAATTTGTATGTATGTAGAAGTTTATTTGGGTGGCAAAAATCTAAATCCAGAATAATCAAGGTGAGAAGTAACGCAAGGCGGGCATCCACATGCTTGTCCTTAGTGCTAGTCAGAAAGGCTAGTGATGAGGAATTATTGCAACTTGGAAGGCACCAAATTGTCTGGTTCTGATCAAGTTACTGAAGTAGGAGTTTAATTTATACTTCTAGA